ATGACGCATTAATGTGTGTAATTAAAATCTTCGCGGTTGCACATAAGATCCGACAAGTGCGTAATAATTATTATAAAAGCGACTCAAGTGCTTTAAGAGGAGCTTAATTCCGAAATCCTTAAAATCCTGCATATTCATTGTACTGTCTGATTTTGAGATGCTCGATTTGAATGTTATTATCACAGACAAAATTATTATATTTAAGTAGGTTCTCAATCAGGATTACCTCAAGTAGTCTTAAAGATTCAACTTTTATGATTATCTCTATAACGTGTAACAAATAAAAATAACAATATTAACTAGTAATAAAAAAAAAAACAAAAATTAATATTGATGATGTGAAATCTTGAGAAAATTATTACATTTACAGTACATTAGATCTAATTTAATAAATTCAGTTGCATTTGTTGTGTTTATAGTTATCTTTTTTTATAAAAAAATCATACATTTGTATTTTTTCACAAATGTAGAAACTACAAAAGGCAGAAAAATATGACAAATGAAGATTTTTCGTAGGTACCGATCGCGTGTGTTGACTTTGTTCCGCGTGCGAAATACTTCGCTCGCGTAGCAATTTTCTATTTTTACAACAAGCGAAGATCTCGCGCGCAATTGCGACATCATACTCGTTGTAGCTTTCGTTAGATACGAATTTTTCTTGGAAAGAGAGATAGGACCGATTACCGTGCCTCCGCACACACCCACCGAACCGACCAATAGAGAGACGACTGAGCGTTTCTCCGTCGTCGCAATCCCTGCGTCGATCGATACGCAAACTCGTAGACTCGCGTCGTCATAGACGCGCGATCGGAAAAAAATGTCGATCCACCTGTTGAGACAATGAACGCGACTACGTAGTTGCGTGATTGCTACACGTGCACGGCGTCACGTAGCTATTTCTATTTTCTATACGAAATTGAACGATACAACAGCCAAAACGGAAAAATGAACGAAAAAATGACGGGGTGATGATGATATCGCGCAAATGGAAGTGCGTAGTCTCGATCATGTGGTGTTTTCTTTCCTTTTTTTCGAACCATATGCATCGTTCAATTAGCCATGATTAGCCGTACCGAGGGCAAATTAATCGACTGCCTGGAATGCCATTAAATCCGCGAATCAAATGCGCATACAGATACGCAATGCGCTCTCGTTGTGTCACTCGCAGCCTCGTCGATTCCAATAATCCAATAATCATCTATTGCCGACATTCTGGGAAAATATCTGAACGTTTTTTTATTAAAATAATTAATATCTGAGAGTTAATATCTGAGGGACGTTTTTTTAGATACGTTTTTTTGTTAAATAACGTCGAAAGTCACTCTTCTGCTTTCGCTGAGAAAATACTTTCTTCGTTTCAATACTCGTCCACCGCTCGCACCCCTTAATCAATACATACTTTCCGATTGGTTCCTGAAGAACGCCTACAGATTATGTAAGATTATATAAGAGACTTCTTTATTTAATTTTTTCAGATTTACTTTTTGCAAATAATATTGATTATTTAGACAAAGAAGAATACTCATGCTGTCTATGATAAATTTTTAAAATTCCAACTATGCTGTTTGTAGTTTTTGTTTTTTTCGTTTTGCTTTCCAAGGGTTAATTGTAACATTTATTTCATTCCGAGTGCAAACGGTATTACGTTACATCTGTGAAAAAATATCAGTCCTGCAAAATTAAAATGTAACCGCAAAAAAATTAGGGGAGGAGGCGCGTTGCATGTAAATACATGCCTCTTACGCGATACGCGATGTGTCACACGTGGGTCACGAGACGCCGTCGTCACGTAAACAAGATTAAAGTGGCGATACCACGGGTCTTTTACCGCATATACGGAGTCCGCGAGGACGGCAAGAGGCGAGACATGCGTGCGTGTGTGCGTGCGTGTGTGCGTGCGTGTGTGCATGCGTGAGCGCGCGTGTCCGCCTACCCGGCTTCGAATAACCGCGGGATTTCGACACTGTTCTACAAATAGAGTAGTTTCCCGCTGGCGCATGTTTTTCGCGCGATATACGCGAAAGACGTTCATTCCCGTTTGCACAGTTTGGTGCACCTCGGGCGTCAATGCGTCAACTATGCGTCGTCGTCGTCGTCGTCGTCGTCGTTATCGTCGTCTGGCGTGTCTCCCGGCGCCCATTATTACGCCCCCATTATTTAAACGGCACAACCTTGTCGCGACATCTTTTGATATAAAGAGCAAAGCATTTTTGCATCCCTCCCTCTTGGCTGAATGATACGTCAGTTCCCCAACTTTCGCTTACGCAATTTCTTGCATCATCGTCCCGAGAAGGATCGAAGTTTTTACCCTTAGAACTTTGTCCCCTTCTTCGAGAAGAAAAACGTACGAAAGATGATTTTATCATGAAAGAATAATTATATTGTAATATAAAAATAAACAAAAATTAATATTATTTAGTTAAATCGAGAACCGCCTCTCCCCCCGCCCCTCTTAGAAACTTTGACTTTCAGTTGATTGACAACTTTCAAGTTTAACTCCGACACGCGAGTTTTAATTTCGCAGAATCGACCAACTTGGCACGAGGTAACAAACGTCTTTGTCCTTTAAAGCTTTACCTTCCTCGCGGAGAGTGGCACGGTGGTCTCCCTGGTGTATATCGGAACATCGAGATCGCTGACGCTGCTACTGATGCTGGGTGCGCGCGAGTCGGAACGTCCACCGAGCGGCACCGTGAGATGCGTTGGCCTCAACGGGTGCGACTCCGCGATGTAGCCTTCGCCGAAATCCTCGTCCTCTCGTTCCATCTGTCAGAAACACGACGGAAAAAAAGATCTCGTTGAATCTCGTTTCGAAAGGCGAAATAAATGTTGATTGTTTCGCGCGTTCGTGCTTCTCGCATGCCGACGATTATTAACAGCGTGCACGCGTTTGTCGCGCTATTAGAAATAGAAGTGAAGAGCGGGAAACTGATAGTTACATCGGTCACAAGACCTCGCCGTTACTGTCAATTTTCATTCGCAGTTTTCTGCGTCGTAAGTGGCGTACGTAAAATTAGCCCGAGTAGCGTGACAACGGGTACGCTTTCTCTGTCAAGCATTTGGCCGGTGATCAAGGCTAGTAACCCGATGTGACATACTCCTCGCGTACATATGTGTTCTTCTCGTCCTACGTTCCATTCAGGAAACGAAAGCGACGAAAAATCTGCTTTGCCAGAACAACTCTACGATTGATCTACGTATTCAATTCAAAATATTACTATTATATTTGTGCCTGTATTTCTCGAATTTTAAATAAACGTACAAAGATATTGATTGTTTTATCCTTAAAATAAATCTGACTTATATAAATGGAGTCACGGTCGCGATAAACGCGCCGCGGTAAAATCGCGCAAATTCCAATTCTCGGCTGAGAAAACATCGGAAAATTGACAGTACGTGTCCTCCTGATGACGATCGGATCGATTAGTCGAGCGGATCTGCTCGGACGGTAATTAAACGACGATATTGGCGTTTAAATCCCACGCAGTGTCCGGCTATTCTATACGGCGTCCTTATATAATCCTTTGCACGGTAAAAATGGACAATCTGTATTATCTCCGGAACTCCGCGATTATCCGCTTTGAATGTACACATTGACGACATTCCAATCTCCACGAATGGAAGATAACGTGTTAAGTAACGAGAGGAGCTCTACAATTACGTCGTAACTTAATGGGCATAATGAACGACAGGGGGTGAAAATATCATAGTAATCCTTGAATTGTAAATTTGAATCTGTATTTGACGAAGGATTACCTCGGCTGAGATTACAGATGAGGACGGTCGAGTCTCGAGTTTTGCGCGAATTCGATCTCTCGCGAGGGACTCTCCGAACGTACGGTGGTGATTTCCGGGTTTCCGGCGGGGTCGCACGAACAGAGGGTGGTTCGCGGAGAAAGAAAAGGAGAAAGAGAGAGAAAGAACCGCGGCGAGGAATGCTAACTCGATCGATGACCGGAATGCATCCGTGCAGCCGGGGGATGCTTTTGAGACTGAGCTTGAGAGGATGCGGCGACTCATCGTCGTGGACATGATATAGCCGACGACTAGATTTAATTTTAACGCTTCGTGTACGCGCCTCCGCCGTTGGACGAGCCTCCGCGAGGTTTCATCGGGAAGAGAGAAGGCCGCCCTCGTCTCGTCCCCCTTCGATGACACCATCGATTGCTCCACCACGCGCTCCTCCTAATTGGTATCACTTGACCCCCAGGATATCCTCGCCTCGCGACTCCGATCGGCTCCTGGAGAACTGACTGCGAACTGCAACTCGATTCTCTCGCTTCCTCGAATCCAGGTCGCATCTAGATCGAATTTAGATATCTGTTTCTCTCGTGATCTGTTTCTATATTTTTCAGAGACATATCTGAAAAGAAAAGAAAAGAGTTAGAAAAGCTTCAATGAAATTTAGTTGATGCTTAGAAGAATAGAGGAACGCGCGCGCGCTGAAATTGTTTGAATACAATTATTTTTTTCTTCTACTATGTTTCGCAATTCTTTTCGATATAATATTGGAACATCTCTAAAATATTAGATTACGTCTGTTTTTATCTAAATAAACATTTTTGCAACTTATAGATGTCATGATTGCGTCAATGAATATTTACGCTGCGACATGTGAGTAGACTTCTGTCGCGATTTATTTCGGCATTACGTGATCCGTTTCAATACAGCTAAATAATAAGTTATATCTATTACTCAGACAAAAGAACAAAGAACTTGTTTAAAAAATGTTCAAATGTTTACTTTAATTATTTTTAAAAATGTTTACGAAAGACTACCATAAAATGTTTTTAAGAAAAAAAAAACAAATTATTTCTAAATTATCTTTATATATTTTATTATATTTTAAAAACTTATAGAATATTATTATTACCGATAAAAAGCTAAAAGATGTAACTTAACATGTAAGAAATGTTAAGAAGAAACTGAAATATTTTCTATATTTAACAATGTTACTATTTGTATTATGCAACACTAAACAGATGTTTGTAGAATGATATACGAGATTGACATCGCAAAATAACAAATATGATGTATGTATCGTACAAAGTATTATCTCATTATATAGCACATTTTAATCTTCCAGAAAAAAGAAGAATGAGATGCCATCTAAGGATGATCTTGTCAAGTTTTCGATAAACTTCAATATCGATCGATACAAACAGGTAACATCATTTGATAAATACAGAGAATGCGACAGTGACGAATTTAACCTCTATTCTTTTAGCGGCAATGATATTTACATTATCTAATAAATGAATAAAGCAAATAAATAGAAAAAAGAGATATAAAAAATTCTAAAAAAGTAACGAATATAAAATAAAACATACAATGGTTTTTCTGACGCGAGTTTTAGCCTATGCTAAAAATGTAAGTAAACTGTTGAGAATTAAGTATTACACAAACATTATAATTATATATATTAACTAGCAATGAAAACACTTTTCTTGCAGTACACGAGAAAATATCTACGTTCCAGATTCATTGACACCCTGCGTTTACATGTTAGGGGAGGAACAGGAGGTGCTGGTTTGTCTCGTTATGGTGGAATCGGAGGTGCAGGTGGTAATATATATGTAGTTGCAAAAGATGGGCTAACACTGGAAAGCGTTGCTCAGACCTTGAAAAGCAAACGGATCACAGCGGAACCAGGAAGTGACAGTTCTGCAAGAGGAATTATAGGTTTAGCTGGTAAAGATAAAATTATTACAGTTCCACGTGGCGTTGTAATATACAATCAGAATGAAGTATTATTAGGTAAGCATATTTTTTTAAACTAACTTTTTATTTAAAACTATATATTTTATTATTTCTCTTCTCTTTATTGAAAATTTAGGTGAATTAAATGAAGAAGATTCAAAATTATTAGTAGCTAGAGGTGGCTTAGGTGGTTCTGAACAAACAGGCTATTGTGGTTTGAAAGGAGAATCTCAGGTTATAAAGTTGGATTTGAAATTAATTGCTGACATCGGGCTAGTTGGCTTTCCCAATGCTGGCAAGAGTACATTCTTGAAGGCAGTTTCAAATGCTAAGCCTAAAATTGCTGATTATCCTTGTAAGATATTTTATACATCTAATTATTCTCAAATATTCATCAGGTTCCGCGTAAACCTGTTCATCAATATAGACTTACTAAATTGTCATATTATTTTTATATTTTCTGTTCTTACAGTTACTACTATAAGGCCTAAATTAGGAATTATAAAGTACAGCGATTTGAGAGAGATCACTGTTGCGGATTTACCGGGTCTGATTGAAGGTGCACATATGAATATTGGGATGGGTCATAAATTCTTAAAGCATATTGAAAGAACAAAGCTGCTTTTGTTTATCGTAGATATACAGGGATTTCAATTGTCGTCAAAGCATGTTCGTAGATCTTGTTTGGATACAGTAGTCTTGTTAAACAAAGAGATTGAACTGTATAAACCAGATTTATTAAAAATGCCAGCTATGATTATAATTAATAAACTTGACACCGACAATGCTGACAGTATTCTTAAAGAGATTAAACCAGCACTGCAAGATTTGTCAAAATATGTATCTACATGTCCAGAGGAAATGCAGCCCGAACAAGTAGTACATTTCATTGATATTTTACCGACATCCTTAATCTCAAAAAATAAGAATAATATAGAAATGATCAAATACAGAATACGAAAAATATTAGATAAATACGAAGAACAGAAACATGCTGTTGAACATGGTAATTTAGACTCTCGATTGATGGAGAGGATAAAACGAAGACTCGAAGAGCACACTCCAACCGTTGTATAAATTTATAATATATTTATAATATATAAAATAAACATTTTGTACATAAATATTAGAGATGTGTATTTTATTCAAAGTCTAATTTTACCAATCTACATTTTATGTTTGCTGCTTGCACTCTTTCAACCCAACTTTCCCCGAACGGTGCATCTTTATCGACAGTTATCTTTTCAATTTCCTTTCTATCTCGCATAATACCGACATTCGCCATCCACTTCTCCGCACCATTCCATGCTATCATTACACCGTTGTCATTGCATAAACGAGGTGGAGTTCGAACGAAATTAAAACCTCTTTTTGAGCAAACAATTTCCAAAGCCTTTGCCAGGAAATTATTGCAAGCCACTCCGCCAGATATTACCTGCATTTAAACATATATGTAAAACAAATATGTAAATGAACAAAAATCGAAAGTTAACAAACATAATTTTATATTTGCATACCAAAGTTCGCCTTTCTTGTGGTATCAAGTTCTCGTTATTAATAAATTCCATTGCCCTCTGCGTTCTGAGACATATGTGTTTTACGAGACACAACTGCACAGCAGCACATAAATTATAAACTTCGGATATTTCCGTGCTACCATTAATATCAAAATTTATTTGTTTATTAATATATTTAAAACTGTTACTTAATAAACTCGAGAAACTGAATTGACAATCTCTGTGTTTTGTTAAGATAGGCATGAAAGCAAATTTAGTTGGATCTGTTGCTTTACTCGCCGCGCTTTCTATTGCCTGGCCACCACTCATATGCGAAAATTCCGATATATTTGCAAGTTTAAGCCTACGAGCGATCTACAAATGCCATAAAAATTTTATTGGCCAATTTTTGGTGTAAATTAAATAAAAATTTGCAATTAAAATAAACAAAAAGTATACACATACAAAATAAAAAATTTACCTTGTCCAAAATTTCACCAGGTGGATTATCTAATGTAGTACCTAATATATAAAATTTATCAACATTTTCAACAATCGCTAGTAAACTGTGGCCACCTGATACAAGCAAAACAAGAAAAGGAAAGTCTACCTATAAGATATATATGAATAATTCATATTAGTTATAATATACATTTTATATGTATAATCACAGTTTCAACATACTTTCTGAACCATTCGTACAGTTAGCGCGTGGGCTTCCATATGATGTATCGGTATATATGGTTTGTTACCAATTCTAGAAAGATATTTGCCAAAATTATTTCCCACAGCAAGTGATAAGAAAAGACCTGGCCTAGTTGTAGTTGCGATAGCATCTATATCTCTTAATCTTAAATTTGCCAATTTTAGTGCATCCTCACAAACTGTAGTAATGTATTCTCTATGCAGGTCACTGGCAAATGTAGGTATTATACCACCATTGCTAAAAATAAATACGAAAATAAAATAATACGATTATTTGCCCTGAAAGAATTTGTAATAATTTTGTATATAACAGTCTACATTTGCATTCACTTTGGAGATTAAAGTTTGTAAATCTTTTTATCCAAATAAATTTGTACATTATCTAATAAATAAATGCCATAAATATATTTTATTTTAATTTAACTAGTTGATAAATTTTCTGATAATAATTGTTTAGCATATACTGAATTCACTATATCGATTATAAAGATACATATGATTTTCAAGATACGGTAGTCATATCTACTTTAAATGAATAAGATGTTGCGAATTTATTGATTCGCTTAATATTTTTCCTGTGGTGTCTACGATTCCGCATCCTGTGTCGTCGCAGCTCGTTTCGATCCCTAAGATGACAGCCGGTTTATCGTCCGCAAATTTTCGTATCGCGTTCAATGTCTGGCTATATGCACGCAGAAATTTTGAACGTTTCAATCGACAAAGCTCGAACGATATTTTACGCGATAAAAGATACGCGCATCTGACCATTTCGTATCGAAAATATCACAGGTTACCAAGCAGATTAAGCAGATATAGGTTACAAAAAATTAAAAATATTCTGCTAAAATATGCGCGAATACGCGTTCACTTTAATTGTATAATTGGTGAATGATTTAGTTTAGCGGCCTCACGTGTTATTTAGCATAATATATATTAATGATTTCATCATCAACAAAGCTGTTGAAATATTTAAATACGCATAATCGGACGCGCACAGCGTGCGGGTGAAATGGGAACGAATTCGTTCATTCATTCATTGTCAATCGATCGATTTATCATGATCGCGGGACCGCGACTCTCCGCGCATCCTATACGTCAGCACGAACCGTCACCAACCGATACTATCACCGTCCACCGTCGTCGTTGGTCGTCGCTGGTCGTCGCTGGTCGGCTGGTCCCTGGTTGTCGTCGCCGCTACTCCGACCGCCATCGCTATCGCCACCACTACAAGTGTTCACAACAATGATCGCGCCGGTTGTATTTTAGGTTAATTCACTCGTGTGTGATCTCTATTCTGTAGTTTATAAACTCTCTCTACGGAGTGAAAATGGACAATAAAATAACTATATACGACCCCGACGAAGAGGAAGTAGAAAATGATATATTGCGTGATATCGAACCGGTCGTGTGGATCAATGACGATCCAAATTACGATTTGGACGAGGTTAACATGTTTTTTCACAGAGTCGATTCGGATCAAATTATATACGAGGAAAAAAGGAAAAAGTGCAAATTTATCGGTAAATATGTCATGGGTGATGTTCTCGGTGAAGGTAGTTATGGGAAAGTGAAAGAGGTACTGGATTCGCAAACGCTTTGCCGAAGAGCGGTCAAAATATTAAAGAAGAGAAAACTCAGGAGGATACCGAACGGGGAACAAAACGTTCAACGGTGCGTTCGACGAACCGTATCTCTTTACGAATGTTAAATGTGTCGATATCATGGGTGAATCTTTATCGTTACGTGCACAAATAATGCAACGATATCATCGCGATATCTTTCTCGCGCGTTTTTCTCGCTTGCACATTTTAACAGCAACTCACATTTTACAGGGAAATAAAATTGTTAAGAATATTGAAACATAAAAATGTAATAAATCTCGTAGACGTTTTATACAGTGATGAAAAAGAAAAGATGTATCTAGTTATGGAATTCTGCGTGTGCGGATTACAGGTAAATCTTAAGGAGAATATCTTTCTTCCTATTATTTTAAATTATTAAACACGTAATATGCGTCACATTGTACAAAGTTGATTTCGAAAGATGACACTTTATAATGTCGATTTTGTACGATAATTACAATTAATTGAAAAATATTTTACATTTACGCGCGTTTCAAATAGTTTACTTTGAAGCGATTAAAATTACAAGCAAATAATTTGTGTTAATATCAAGCTCGATCTCTCTGGCCCATATTTGCGTGATGATAGTTGCTTTGCACGTTGTAAAAACGCAATATTTTAACAAGAAGGAAAATGCTTAAATCGTTAAACTTTTAATCGCAATATCTGTAACACAGGCTTGCATGAATTAACAACAATTAGATTTCTATTTATTAGATTCTTTACAGGATATGTTGGAAAGCACACCAACCAAGAAGCTTCCACTTTGGCAGGCACACGATTATTTCTCTCAGTTGTTGGACGGTTTAGAATATCTTTACAGTAAAGGGATAGTTCACAAAGATATAAAACCTGGAAATTTGTTACTAACTCTAGATGGTACTTTGAAGATTAGTGATTTTGGTGTTGCGGAGGTATGAGGTCTTCTATAATTTCTTATCTTGGTCTACAAATCTATGCACACTTTTTATTGATATAATTATAAAGACTGATGTTTCTAATAACGAATAAAGTTCCGAAATAGAGCGTTTTTTATTTACAAAATGTTGCGCGCGTGCGCGTGTATGTACGTACATACACATTTTGCAATCATGCGTGTTTCATTCCTATTTGTGATTACGCATCTCCACTGTGCTAGGCATTAGACATGTTTTCCAAAGACGATACATGTACGATAGGTCAAGGATCTCCAGCGTTTCAGCCACCAGAAATCGCAAATGGCTGCGAAAGTTTCTCAGGTTTTAAAGTAGACATATGGAGTAGCGGAGTTACATTGTAAGTGCAAAGCTGTTGCAACAGCTACAACATTATAAAAAAGAAAAACAAGTGGTACATCTGTACATTTTACAGATACAACATTACCACAGGTTTATATCCTTTCGAGGGAGACAACATATATAAATTATATGAAAACATTGGAAAGGGTGAATATACTGTACCGAAAGAAGTAGAGGAACCTTTAAAGTCTCTTATAGAGGGAATGTTGCAAAAAGATGCGGATAAAAGATTTACATTGCAACAGGTTAAAAGACATGCTTGGACCATATGCGAACATCCTAAAACGCAACAACAAGTACCGATACCTTCTCTTAAAAGCAACGGATGCCACAGCATGACCGTCTTGCCATACTTGATGGAGTATCATTATGGAGTCGATGACAATCCTATATATTATACGGAACACGAGCTGAATGGTACGTCTCTGTTGCAGGCACTTAAATATTTTTTTTCATTTTCCGAAAAGGAATTTGAATAGATTGCAAGATGAAAAATTTCAGTGTGTGATTCACTATCTTTCTATATATTGATAATATCGCAGTGACTCTAATGAACATTTCTTTTTCTCTAGAAGAACGAAGACTTCAAGAACTGGATCGCATTAGCGAGGATCAGAAAACGACCACGTGTAATAGTCATCATAACAAGTGTAACACGAACAGTCAAAACAAACGTAGATGGCGTAAGCCAATTTCATGTATTAGTATTAAAAGATTTCCATCTTGTAAACCATCGTGATTGCCATTTCGCTGATTGTGTCTCGCGTACATTTTCATTCGTATCTCACTGACCATGTCAGTTACAAAGTTTCTCTGTAATGGAGTCAACTGAGAGTGAGCAAGGATACAGAGTGTACGAGACGCATGTGTAATCTAGCTACACAAATGGAAAATGCAAGAATTTTAAATCGGTTCAGAGAAGTGTCGGACGTGTAAAGATTGTGATATTAAGATTAAAATCATGTAGCGAATAATTCAGTGACATCCTCGATGATTCATTGCCTAGGAGACGCCCAATCAAAGTCACATTTCGTTCTGGTGCCATATTGACAACGCGATTAATAAAATTAATCGTCTCACAGTTGTTGCATTCTTTATTGTCGAATCTCCGAATACATCCTTATCCTCCGTAAGATCTAGTTCGCACAAAATCGATTGCAAGTATTCGCAGATATCGCGCAAATCATGTTTCAATTTTATACTGTAGTAATGAATAACAGCTGAAATTGATTTGTCACATAGTTGTTACACGCGATGGCATGAACGATTATGAAAAGAAGTTAAATTCAATTCAATTGAATGTCGCTCGTTAAGAAGCCTGTGTTTATAATTTGTTTCTATTTTATAAATATTAAGATTTCTTTGAGAATCTCAAAAAAAGGGTTCAAGAGCTTTTCTGCAAGACACTGGAGTACAGGAGTAAAGTTTGCGATACGATGTTTGAATTTTTTTTTTTTCAGACGTATGTTGGTATGTACGACTGTTGGTTATTTGATTGAGATTGGAAAATGTATTATAGCATCGACAACGTGATGATCCTGATGACGATTGTCGACTTGTGCTACTCACGCTGCACTCAGTTGCACTCGGTTACAGCATAACCAATATCATTCACTGCCGGCCAGCCACGGCTCTCGCATCGATTCGCTTCGGCTGTTTTTACAAAATAGAAAATCACAATTGTTTTCTGAGATAATTTAAATCGCGATCGATTCAAATAGTAAAGTATGGTTTTCTTGTCATTGAATCTTTTAGTCAGATCTCGCGGACCTGACGAGTTTTGGCGAAAACGAAAAATATTCAAGCTCGCTGCGGTAAGCGATTTATCACGATAAATATTTCTAAGTATCCCTGATAATACGAAATGTGTTGAAAATCACAAATAATAAGTAATAAGTAATAAGATCAAATGAAAAATGTCTAACAGTTTTTTTTATGTTGTTTTCATTGCGACAGCATTACTATGGTAGGAGAAGAAATTGTTATACCGTAGCTATCAGAGGCGTACAGAAAGCTCTGATATACTGTACTCAAAGCAGGCAATTGAAAAAAGAGGATATGAAAGAGGTAAGGTGAAATTTGTGAAATAAGCTTTGCAAATCTGTGCATATATTATAAAACTTTTCTTCATGATCTAACATATTCATCGTCTTTTCCATCTTTAGTTGCGGGAGCAGAGGTTAGAAGCTGCTACGAATGAACATGGTATAAATTTCTCGATTCTTAAAGAGGGATTAACAAGATGCAATATTCTATTAAATCGAAAGTCGTTGGCTGATTTGGCAATTTGGGAACCTCGCTCTTTCAAGGCCATTGCAGATATCGCGTGTGCAAGGGCAAAACAAGACCATTTCAAGGCTACCACCAATACTCAAGTACCCAATAGTGTTATTGTAAGGGGTCTAATTAAATGAATCGTCTCGCAAGTCTAAGACGAGTTCTTTCTTTTTGACACATTTATTTTTTAACTTTGTCCTCTGAATCTCTAAAATTAATATTACATTATCGTTGTACCATTGGTAATAGTAGAGACAGAAATCTAAGAATGTTTAAATTTTGCTAATCTTCTACCTCCATGATACATATATCTCTGTATTGTAAAAAATTTCAAAATCGCATATTCAGCAACGATCGTCCAACATGTTGAGTCATTTTTGAAATCTTCAGCTAGATCTCATTGTAACATTGTTAATAAATTAGAATAAGTGAAGATATGACAAATAAGGATAGAACTCTCCATTGTAATATTACATTTTGTTAAATCTTATATAATCGAACACTATATGTGACTTGTATAATCTCAACATATTTCATCTCATTATGTAATAGTTTTATTAAAATTACGTCTGTCTCATCGATTGTTCAACAACGAGCATTGACAATTTGTACAAAATCAGGCTTCAACGACGCACCGCCGACTAAAAATCCATCGATATCCTTCTCTTTTGCCAAGTCCTTGGCATTAGTTGCCGTCACGGAACCACCATAGATAATTCGCAAAGTTTGCGCAACGTCGCCTTTGACATTCTTGGATAACCACTCTCGTAACTTTTCGTGAACTTCTTGCGCTTGCTGTGGTGTCGCAGTTTTACCTGTACCGATCGCCCATACCGGTTCATAAGCCAAAACCACATTATCCCAAGATTTAATTTTATCCGCTATCGCCTTAGTCTGCCTATAAACTACTTCTTCCGTCTTTCCTGCCTCGCGCTCCTCCAATTTCTCACCTATACACGCGATCACCTAAAAACCATGCAAATTAATCTCCGTTTCCTTTTCTTTTATTTTTCAACCAATTATTGTAGCATAACATTTTTCTTCCCTTCATATATAGTATTTTATAGAAATTGAATATTATTAATTCCTATATTTACTTTCAATCCAGCCTCTAAGGCATGTGCAATTTTCTCTGCAATTAACTCGTCCGTTTCACCAAATACATTTCGACGCTCAGAGTGACCAAGTATTACCCAAGGAATGCCATTATCCAGAAGCATAGCCGGACTGATTTCACCGGTGAATGCGCCTTTGGAAACTTTGTATGCATTTTGTGCACTGACGTCAATATTGTTGGGAACGATAGAAGTCACGTACGTGAGGTATATTGAAGGAACGCCAACTACAACCTCTATAAATTACAAAAATAATTAATAATCCAAGTTGTTTGATTACAGGAAATTCATATAGAGCAAAGATTGAGAATGATGAAAAGAAAAACAATATGTTGTTACATAAGCATCAAGTGTCACTGTTAGATTCTTAATCTAAGTGTACGTAAAGAATCTGTACATAAATGCAATGGCTTGGGAAATTGTTGTTTTATCGTTTCGATTTTTTTTCCTTAGATCCATTTGTCCTGTCAACGTTGGTCCTCGAATTTCTCCGCGTGTGTACAATTACGCAAATGCATAATTGTGATCACACGATTCAATGAATAACGAGTTTTAGCTGTGCGATAATTGACAAGACATTCTGATCCTAGTGAGAGAAATGAGAGAGCCACATACACAGAGAATGATATCGACATTCACATACCGACGTTAGGATCGAGCGGACCGGTCTTCAGGAACGCGACGATGTCATCGATCTCGCTCTTTGTACCATTCATCTTCCAATTACCGCCAACGAAAAATTTGCGCACCATGTTTCTCGCTTGTGCCTCTCGTGACAGGTGACACCTTTGAAATGTGGGATCTGTAAGAGAGCAGCCTGGCAACTTTGTGTTTTGGTCGAACGAACTCGAAACCTCCGCCTACTCCTGCCTACTCTGACCTTCGCGCGCGAGCCAAGGTGAACGAGTAAGACTCTCCTCTCGCACTTATCGTCCCGTACTCTCGCTTGCTTCTCACTCTCGTCGTCTCACTCCGTCCGAGATCCGAGATTCCACGATCCCCTCCTTACTTTCATTACAACTAATTCTCCCTACCATTTGATTCACCGTCGGGACGCCTAAAAGAACCACCGCCGAATCTAGGATCTCCGCAGATATCCGATTTCCAACACTGCTGCGTATTTGTTATTGCGCACGTAATCGTAGTAAATAAAGGGTGCTTTCCATTTAGTGACACAAGTCGACACAAGTATCGTTTTGTCCTTGTTAATTATTGAAAGCCAAGAAAGATAAAACGATATTGTTGTGTCGTGTACTTGTGTCACTAAATCGAAAGCACTCAAAGTCAAGAATAAAATAAAACAAACAGGAAAAGTACTATGCATATACACGAAATCTTATTTAATTTCTGTCAATAGCGCGCTGACGCGTGTACTTCACACCGACGCATATGCCACGGAAATACATAAAAATTTGACTGTAGTGAAGTAGATTATTTTTCAACTTTCAAGTGCAGAAAGTGCAAGAGAGCGCGGTCGAAAAAAACAAGGCAAAAGACTCCGGCTCTCAAATCAGTGAAAAATGCATGAAAACTGATTCGCATATTCGCTTTTCCTCGGTAATTTCCACAAAATTGATGCAGATAAAATTTGAAAATTCACACACTCGCGTCTTACCGCGTTTTAAAGTCGTATATAAGATACGATTTACGATCGGATCGCTAACCTCTCGCAAACGTTTCGATAACTCGTAAATTGACATTTTCTTATTAATACAATAGGGTAATTCTTTATACTTACGATGCCTGACGCCGATAGAATATCGAAACGCCAAGTTGCCGCGAGTTACATGTATATGTATAATGTTCGTCAAGATGGCCTTTATCGATGACATTGCAAAGCCTATTGAAATTTTTACATAACACAAAGGGTCAAAGTAACAATCGCCAACCTCTCATTTGAAAACACCGTTTTTGTTAGCGCGGTAACAACTGATAATTCAAGGATTCGTATAAAATAAATTTATCAATTCGATTCGATTCATTATCGATACAAGAGGCACGCGAATGATCCTTGTAACTTTGTATGCGTATTTCTCTTTATTCCGAATGGATTCTGTGACTTGACAAAAATTGTAGATCTCAGTTTCGTTATGTCGTCCAAGATTGCGTTTGTTATTCGTAATCCGTTTGTTTTAGAAAAATGGCAAGCGAAGAAGTAATTGAGGCTAATAAAAAGCCACAACCTGTATTTAAGAATCGTTCGTTTCAACAGAAATTTCGGCCGACTAGTACTACTGGGAAGAAACGTACTTGGCGATCGTTGAAACAAGTTTTGGCTCAGGAGCGTTCATTGCCATGGCCAATGACGATAAAACACTGTACGCATCGAGTGATACAACTTTTATTTCCCCTTGTTTATACATTAATTGGAAAATATTTATGTTGCAACAAGATATCTTTAAATATTTCGCACGCGAGATTAGAAGCAAAAAAAAAAAAAACAATTTGGAAACATGTATTATTTTAGGAGGGAGAGATTTTTCTATCGTTTTGTGATACAAATTCACATTTCAGATAGCTCCATTAATGCACCGCCGAGTTTCAAGCCTGCGAAAAAGTACTCTGATATTTCCGGATTACCGGTGAGTATAGAAATTGCCTTCACACGATCCAAGATCAACTAGTCAACTTTTTTTTTTTTCACATTTTCTCGCTTTTTTACGCAGCTCTATGTATCCGTAAACTGCAACGTTTGTAAACTATTTTTACGTTTTTATAGGCACGATACACGGATCCGCAAACTAAGTTATATTATGCCACTGCGGAAGAATTTGCCACGGTTCGCAGTTTACCGATGGACATAACGGCTGGATATTTGGCTTTACGCGGAGCATCTAGTATCGTTGGTTAAATGATCCAATCATCTCGACATGGGCTAAAATTAATAATAAAATGGGCACGATCGCTGTATCGTGGTCCACACATAGTTGGACATTCGATATAACACCCAAGTTTGCAACGTTTTCGTTATACGAACATCTGTACGCATTTCGCAAGCGTTGCTACTCTTACATTTCGTTTATAGAAGAGGTATTTGGATAGGAATGGAGAATAAAATGGGACGGATTCAATCGAGAGACAGAATAAATCAAGTATCGATATTTTTTATATCTCACAGACAACATTTATAACATTTCGTCGTGTCTGTTAATGTGCTTTGTAGAGGATTTTTCAAAATGAACAATTCCATAAATGATTTTGGTTATTTTCATTTCTTTTTATCCTTTTTTTTATCTCCGTTACTTTACACAGTACATTATTAAAAAAGCTTGTCCATTATAACTTAGTATATGAACTATTAGCTAATGAGGGAGGCGGGAGGTGTGAAGGATCTTTCAGACCTGGTATTTTCCCATTTCCGTCGATTGTTGCCGCACTGTATCTTTACGGTTTCTTTTTAGTCCAGTTTGCGCGTCCCGTTTGCTACTTGCAACACGGCCATTTTAACAAATTTGCAATTGAAGATACAAACAGCAAGGCCTACTGAAATATTGCCCAGTTGTGCACTATCCTTAGGTTGCCATTTGTTTTTAATGTAATTAATTACTTAGTCGATCGATGTGATTATTTTATCGCTTTAGTCGTACAAATCGGGAAGATCTTCGTCGTCGCTATCGGCATCGTTGTCCCCTAATTCATCCAAGTCATCGAAATTTGGCTTACTGTCACCAGAACCACTTAAACCACCCATTTGTCGCATCATCTGCATAAGATTGAGGAAAGAACGGGAAGCAGGGGAGATGAATCAATTGATACTTATATTTATGAAACACTATACGATATGAGTATATACGTGTCCTTACCTCTTCTAAGTCTGGCGGGCTACCTTCATCATCGGTATCATCCTCGTCCTTCCATTTGTTGAAGTCACTCTTCAACCAATGAGCCTTTATTTTATCTTTAATTAGCCGTGGCCAATATGGTCCCTCTTCCTTTTTAGCAAGAACCAATTCAAAAGTCCTGCCCTTCAAATTTTTCACTGTTTTGCTGGGCTCGATTTCTTTGTACAAATTAATCGTAATTTCGTGCATTTTTTTATCTGTACCTCCCTCTCCTTTGAAGTATATCTTTTCTGGTTCAATTTCAATAATAGGATCTTTACAATCTTCTAAACAGATAGTAACATACAAGATATCTTTTCTTTGAGCCCACATAACTGGTGGGGGAGGTATCCTAAAAAAGATGGAAGAAAATGAAAAAATGTTAAAAATGCAAGAATAAAATTTGCAAAATTCACAGTTACCATCCATATTCTATTGTCTACTTCTTTAAATTAAATCATTACATTATCAAATGGAGTTACCTCTGCAAATCTTTTCGTATAATAATAAATTATTATGATAAAGAATTCTTTTTTTCATTTTCGATGGATGCATATTAAATGGAAACAAGATATCTCGCTATCAAAAAGCATCAATTTAGAAAAAGGGATGAGAAAAAAGGACATAAATTTGACACGAACTTGATAATTAAAATTTAAAATCTTGACGAAATTCTAGTTCTTTTCAACTTCGTGTCGCTCTCTCTTTCTATTGATAATTAGTCTGATCATTAGACTTGACTGAATGAAACGGTACTTAATGATTTTCATCATTTGGTCGTCTCTCATGCGCCACTTGATTGATTACGCAAATCGTGAAAAATCGTGCGAATAAATGAACCGATTCCCACGTGCACGGAGTGTATTCTATCCTATAGGACCTGTTGTACCCTTATAGGTTAAGGACGAAAGCTCCTACAAACTAAAGCGATGCCTGGCATTCGGATCGTGAATATACAGGTGAGACAAATATTAGGCAAGATATGTCGTCAATTAGGAGAGGTCGACTTTTGTCACACGCATTCGATTACGAGACGAAATCGTGACATGCGATTTTTCCAAAAAATAAGTCGTCCGTCTCCACCGTTCTCCGGCATGCCATGGCGACGTTCGCGACTGCTCGATTCGCGCGGAGAAGGCGGCGAGTCGCGCGAGAGGAGGACGGAAGGACGCATAAATTGAGGATGGCGTAGAGCGACGCGAGCTAGTATCCGCGTAGAAATTTTTGTTCGAGAGAACGATTGCCATCGCGATTATAGGTCACATCTCGTCTCTGGAAACTTCGAGAATCAATAAAACTGTCCCACCAACATGGCGCGATACTCCGTGAGGCACGGGGCGGCATTTACGCGACCGCGATAATTATTTCTTGGCGGCAGGTGAAGACGCGGCCGTGGGGCCCGTTGTCGGGATTGCCGGCGTCAGTCGCCGCGCATAATTTCCGTCCACTTTGATATACTTACTGGCTTTCCTGCGTCATGTTTCCGACCGCTTCGCACGCAACGAGAATGAAACAAACACACAGCGCATGTAGCGCACTCACGTACCGCCTGCGCGCCCGCGCCAAGAACTCGATTCGAGATATCTCGTATATCGGCTCGTCTCTCATATCGGAAATATCGAAACTCGATTAGATTCGACTTTTCAAGACTCTCGATCTGCTCTGTGCACTGCGCGCAATTTTGTTCCGCAATCTACCTCACTTTTGAAATTGCTTGAGATTATGGAACATATATATATAATCAAACACAATTTTTGAAAAAGCGCGTCGCTATGTTTTTCAACACACATTTTCTCTTATTATTAGTTGATATTTACTCATTATTGATATTATTTAATGAGTAATTGAAAACATTTAACGTATATACAAGGAAATGTTTACATTACGAACGCAAGCTAACTTTCACACTATTCAGCTTTCCATGCGTAAATTTATGAATCAGAAAAGCATTTTGATTACAATGTGAATTAATATTAACTCGATTCCTTGCATTTTAATTTCTCAGTTTGTATTTGCTTCACTATTGTCTACAAAAGATAAATTTCTAACTTTTCTCTTTGCCAGATTCGCTTTTTTTCATGTATTTTACTACTATATGTAAAAAGGAGATTATATTAATTCCGTTATTTAAAATGCGATACGTTGTTAGCAAATATCTTTC